TTGTTTGTTGAGTTTTTGGCTTTGTTATTTGTGCGACAACTTCATCACTCAACGTTGTCGCAGTCCCGCGCTGACAGTTACAAATTATGATTGATTGAGGACAGTGGCTCCAATCATTGAATTTGGTTGCATGTTCCATAAATATGTATTAGTGGTACTTAAAACTACACCGGGAGGACCAGTGCATAGTTCATATGCAAATCCTGTTGAAATTTATGTGAAACTCCCTTCTTCAATTGAAGACACTTCATAAAACATATTGTCAATTTAGAGGGAAGGGGACAACACTACTTTAGATTGCTGAAGGGCTATTAAAATTTATCGCTGGACCGCACATCATTGAAAAGCAGCAACAGCAACAATGCTGGAACACCACTGGCACCAAATCATAAATCGTTTTGTCAATTTTAATGCAGAACAAGACAGTAGCAACAAAAAATAAAAGTCAAGTTCAAAAAACAACAAGATGCACAGTAGGCCAAAAATATGAAAGAGTAAAGAAAAGTATGCAAGAAAATGCTTTTTAAGTTAAGAGTTGATTTTCATTTGTTTCTTAGTGTAAAGTTTAGAAATTAGAAAGTACTACAAGACTGTTTTTCTTTATCATATTCTGAAAAAATACATTGCGTTTGCGAGATCTGCGATATAATCATAAATTGCTTAAGGTAATTTAATAGATCCGTGACCAATGTTTTAAGTTGACCACTGTTTGCCTGGGCTTATTACACGCTCACTTGACTCCATAATTGCTGGTTGTGTGTGTCTCAGGGAGCGTGGGGATGACGAAGGGTAAGTTACCACGTTCGGGGCAGTCTAAGCATTGTTGGCACGTGTCGGTGCTTTGACTTGAGAGTACAATCGAACGATTGTCCAGTTTGCATAGCTTTTAAGCTTCCACTTCTCATGATTAATTGGTAAATAGAAGCCAAAAAAACTAATTAGTATGAATCCACTTATTAAAATCTACAACTCAAGTAATCGCATTTGTATCAGTGTGAGATATATTACGCAGAGATTATTTTAATCTTTTATTACATGTTGTTAGCTTAAGCGATTTCCAAGCGACAGTAGTTGTAAAAGTTGAAAGTTGATATTATATCAACAATCTAATTTATAGACATACTGTGCTCTTATGAGTTTATCAAATTAAGGTTTTTTGCCTGGGGGTTCTTTTTCCAACTTATTGATTTACTATTTAAAAAAAAAAGAAGTTGCTCTTGAAGTGTATCTATTGAGTCGATCAATTTACGTTAATAAGTTTTAAAAGTTGTTAATAAATCAAAAATTGCTGTAGTATCATCGACGGCTGTGAGTCTTTCGATTGTTTTGGCTGCCGCTTGGCTGCTTGGCTGATTGTAAAAGTTAAATGAACTTTAAGTTTTAAAGTAGCTTAGCTTAGCACAGCGCTAGGTTTGCTTCTTATGCCAAAATTGGTTGGCTTTGCATATTGATGTGGCATTAGGTGCGAAACTTTCACAGTTCTTCTCCTCACGCTACGGGCAACAAGTTAGCTTCTCGTAATCGTCATCTACAACTATGAAATTTGTGGCACTCATAAATTGGATTTGTTGTTGCGTTGTCTTGCGTTGCGAATACGCACTGTGGGCCTGGAGGGCTGCACAGCCAAAACATTGTCATTCGCATTCAGGCCGCGTTCGTCGGAATGGAGGATGAACTGAGAGAGCGTGACACAGAATCTGATTTTTATGTTGGCCATAAAGTTGCCGCCTGCATTTGGATTTGCTGCTGCTGTTCCTGATGTTCCCATTGTTGGTATTAGCTTTTGTTTTATTTTATTATGCTGCTATTTGGCTTTGGCCACAGTCTACTGTTATTGTCCTTGTCCTTGCACTAAATCAAAGTGTCGTTTATCCTGCGGCATGCAAAGCGGTTCGCTAAGTTTATTGGCATTGATTGTTATGGCCTCATTTTGGTTTTGCATAACAATTAGTCAAAAAACAATTTGATTAGCGTTCGCCTATAAAGTTATGCACCCGAATTTTGCCCGCCACCCATTTTGAACTGAATTTAAGAATTATACTTTAAAATCTGTGGAAATAAACATTAGCAAAAGACACGCACCGAACTTATATGACACTTTGAAACCCACTTATAATATGTTTAGCCGTGATTTTAAATCTTTTTTCTAATGATGTACATTTTTTAAGCAAATTCAAAATAACCACCCATTCTATAACATTTTCCGCATTCCGATCATACAAACCAATAAAAAAAAAGCCAGATTGTACATAAAAATATATTAATGTTGCTTATAAAGTGTATGCAAACCACGTACATTTTGAATTCAATTCGAAAAAATGTATTGATCCCATCCAATTTACAATATTCAATAAATATTTGCGCAATTTATTGGCAGTTAAAGCATAATTCTATACTAGCATCCCTATTTCTAGTCTTATGAACAAGTCATCAAATACACATTTGAAGTGTATTCGAAAGTGAGGAAAAAAAATTACATTTTGAATATTGTTTGAACGACAGGCCCAGTGAACCGCGAGAGTTGCAAGCGGTGAAAATGCAAAAGAGAGACACAAAGAAAATTGCAATAACAGTTTGGCACAGACCGAAAATTTGCAGCAGCGAAAAACATTTGAATTTGTGGACATTTTTTGTTTTGTTTTTTTTTTTTATTGTACAGCATTTGCATAGAAAAATTCAAATTAAACGCAAATGTGCAAAATGCTCTGAATGGTTTGCTCTTCTCCTGCGTCTCTTTTATAGTCTATTTGCTTTGTTATGACACTTCTTTCAGAGTGCAACAACTGAATGTCCAAATAAAAATGTGGCACAAAGTATTTGTTAGCTCCAAATGAGCAGTCAGCAAAGCCAGCAATTGGCAAGCGATACCAAAGGCTGACGAATACATACAAAGAAAGAAGGGACAGAGGCTTGGGGGTTGTAGTGATGTAGAGTGTGCTAAATTGTTCATCTAATGATACAAAAAGTGCTTGCATTTGCAACTCAACTCTTTCTTTGAAGTTTAAAGTTGAACATTAAATAAACAATAAATTATTCTGTCTTCTGAGTGTAAACCTCAAGTGGCATGATTATTTCCTGGCAACATGATGAAGTCCTGTACCAATTCAAAAAGCTATTCGTTATTGTTGCTGGTTAATTAAGACGAAACGGTTAATTGTCAAAAAGCTTTCCTCTTAACTTTACTGGACCCATTTGCATTGGCATTTTGGATGGACAGTTCAGTTGGAGTGTAAGTGTCCTTTTGGCAGGGAACACTGCCAAAAGATGCTGTCAACAGCATATCCTGATTGAAGCTGCAGACGAGGGTGGGTTAAGCCGAAGCGCCAAGTAATATTGTTGCCATTTATTTGCTAGACGAGAAAAAAAAACATTTATTACAATAAGAAAGAGTTACAAGACTCTAAATGCTCTTTTTCAAACTCAAGTTGAACACAATTCTAATAAAGAATTTGCTATGAAACTATAACTATCTATCTGTGATGATAGCTTGCGTGACGCTATTTAATCTGGAATAATTATGGTGATAATAATTAGTTAATATACTGATCCAATGTATACTTATTAAACCTACATCGTTTACATAGTAATAACATGTTGTAGTAAATATATATATATTTATTATTAAGAGTAATTCGAATCTATGTCGCCTTGCAATTGGATCTGTTGTTTGTCACAGTGAGTTAGCTTGTGTTAATTAGTCTAGTGTGTGCTAATTAATTTAGAGTGAATAACACAATTATAGTTTGAAGTATTGAGCTGATTGGATTAAGCAGATTGCAAACAAATTCAGGAACTTATTGGACCCAGACTGGAGTGAGGCAAAACAATTGTATTTTTGCCTTTTGTTTCTGTTTCCTTTAGGAGCCGCTACATAGCTCCATGCTCATGGCTCTTCCAATCGTCCTCCCTCAACCTCTGCCTTTCAGTCGCTCTCTTTCTCTTTTTATGTCTGTCTCGTCGCCGGGCGGCAATTGCCTTTGTGCCTGTCTGTCATGCGGTCCATCTCTGCCTGTCATTTGCTGTCTCTACTATATATTTTTTTTTTAAGTGCATTATGCCTCTGCATTCATTGAAATCGCCATTTTTTTGTGTGCGGCCATTGTCCGCATGTAAATTCATCGTTGCCTTGGTCCCACTGTTTACGGTTCGAAGCACTAACTGTCAACAGTTTTCATAAATCTTCATTCCATCGCTGCTGCTCCGGTGGCTGGTCCTGCACTTGTCTCAAGACACAGTTATCTTAAGTGCTCTAAGTGCAAGCTGTCACTCGGCCTGCTCCTCTGTTTGCCCTGAATTGTTTTTGGATTTTCAATTGTTTTTGACACGTTCTCCACAGATATATAAAATTCTCAAAATGTTACGAAATTGAGTTGCACTTTTTGCTATGAATGGGAATACGGCTTTGGATTAGGTTTGAGCGTATTCCTCTCCAAACGCGCAAAGTATAATTTGACTTTGCCATTTCTCTGGAATTTGTGGAACTTACTTTCCTTTTGGCAACAATAGTTCATACTATACGCATGTTAACATGCATATAACGCCACATTGATATGTTAATTCGAACTTTCACCTTTCGCTGTTGGCTTTATTACGATTTTTAGCGTCACATAAAAATCAAATTGGTCAAGGCCCTATAACAGGTCAACATGTCACAGTTGTCCCCAGTGAATGACACGGCCATCTGTTGTTCGTGTTGTTTGTTGTTGTGGGCCATAACAGTCGGGTTTTATGTTCCACAGCATTAACAACAATATTCACGGGATCCAAACTGCCGTTAACGAAACCAGTTTCTTCGTTTTTTCTTTTTTGTTTGGCTATTGTGACAATGTTTTTACATTCCTAGAACATTTGAGGTGAATGGATTCATGCAAATTAGCCACTCAATGTGATACGATTCGACTCGATCTGCAAACTGACCCAAATTGAGAGGCCATAAAATTGCGTGAGTGTTCCGAAATCGGTTTAGTCGACATAGTTGGATAGACGGAACGCCCAAGATTATGATGATGCTGCCAATTCGCTTATTGGTGATCATCACCTTGGTGGCATGTAAAGCAAACGGTTTTTTAACGATTAGTGAAAGTCCATCTAACTGCCCACATCTATTGCAGCTCAGCCACAGTTCAAGAAGCACTGGAAACGAGCACCCGTCCATGGTGCATTCAATGTGGACGCCTATGCATACAACAAGCCCCAGGTGAATTTGGTAAAGCAGTTGCCAGCAGCAACTAAGCCTGGAGAGATGCTGCCCGTACGTCAGGTGCTACAACACATCTCGCACAGCAGTCGCGCCTTGGCCATGCCAAAAGCTCAATACAGAAACCTCGATGATGCAGAGAGTAAACCCGCAACTGATTATCGAGAAGGTAGTTTGGTGCCCGCTCTGAAAGCAACTACCCTTGCCGCATTAAATAGCCAATTAGTACAGCTCCAAATGAATTTGAGTCAGACACGGTCAAGCTTATATTCGCATGAGTTTCATGTGCAAAATATGGGCACTAGGAAAATTGTGCTCCTTAACACGCTGGCCAAAAAGGAGCATCATAGACCCGTTAGCACTGAAGTTACGAACATACAGGAGAGGCCATTGAATGTGAAATTGGCATTGCCCGAGCTTATCGGAAGCGTAGAGGAACACCAGTTGCAGGCGGAGATAACAGCCACAACGCCAAACCAGGTGAAAGCTGAACCAATTAGCTATCTGGAAACTGAACCATCTAATAAGGGACAGCTGAGCGATGTGACTACTGACAGCAAAGAGATAGCTAGGGATGTGAGTAAGGCGCCAACAATCGCAATAGAGTCAACAGCAGCGGTTGGACATAAGGAGCAGCTAAAGACTATTGTCAATGGAAAGCAGCAGCAGGAGCAGGAACAGGAGATGCGAAATCAGCATCAGTTGCCGATGAAGTTGAAGCTGAGAGTTGAGAATGCTGCTGACAGCAATCATGACAACATTGGCTTCAGTGTGGCGCCTGTGACAGAGTCCAAGCCAGTTGAAATAGATGGAGTTAAGGCTCATCGCTTGAAATCGAAGCGCAAGCAAACGAAAACAAAAGTAAAAACACAAAATCAAAATCAAACACAAACGCAAAGAAAGACATCAAATGAAACTGATTCAAAGCTGGCAACGAGTTCTGCTCCAGTTGATATGCTGATGAGTGAGACAGCAGATGTCAGCACAGGGAATCCTCAACAGCAGCACAAGGGTAGCAGAGTTAGGGTCAGTGTAATGGCCAAGGGTAAGGGTAAGCGGAAGGGTGCTGGTCAGAAGCAGGAAATCGAAACTACGACAAATTGGTGGCAGATACTACCATATGCGGAAATTAGAAAATTTTTGAATACGATTTATGATAGCATCGCCGACGACTCCGACGATGAGCGGGCTGCACATCGGATATGAAAGGGTTACATATATGTATGTTAGGGCCAGACCAATAGTTAAGTCCGATTATAGGAGTGGTAGGTTGTAAGAGTCGATCGTCCAGCCAGCGTTGAATTGAATTTCCGGTCAAATGAAGTTCCATGAGGCAGTGAAGTTATTCGTGTTGATTACGAGCAGCAAAAGAGTAAGTAAGTTAAATTACGGATGCTTGACACTTGGCAATAAAAATAAAATGTAATCGTAAAACTAGCAACAATAAAAGCTGAAATTGAACTATTTTTACAGTTTGTAAACATATTGCCACCCTTTTGGATGAATGAGTTGAGATTGAGTTTGCTAAATATGTGATTGTTCACAATACAGATGTGCAGAGCAGATTTTGATGTTGCGTCGTTTTCGATAAGTTGAAGAATAATTTATTCACCTAATAATATTTTAAGAAAATCAATGACTATTCTTCAATTTATCGAAAATGAAACGTTGTTAATTAAAAAGTCATGAATATTACTGAAACGTTTCACTTGCACTTTCTAATACATACACAGACATTTCTTGAATACCTTTGAGTATGCAAATCTGCTGAATAATAAATACTTTAATTAATGATTTACTGTGCCGCACTCAGAGTCAGCTTGTGCCGCACGTCAACAAAGTTTTATTTAACCGGTTAACTTAATTAATGCTGTCTGACACTTGCCACTTAATAAGCAATTTATAAATTTATAATTAAAAACATAGAAAACAAGCATAGTGACGCCTTGGTTCACGCCAAATTAAATTCGTTTTGGACGGTTCTAAGTTCGGTTCTGTGAACGGTCGGTCACAGGTTAAAGTTGAAAGCGGTCGAACGTCTTCAAGTTGTCAGCTTAACTCGGCTTGACGTGAATTGGTCATTAATGAGCTAATAGTCTTCATTCAAACTGCGACAAGCAAACTGTAGCTGCCTGAATAACTCATCGATTGACTTGACATGTTTTTTCATTTTTGTTTGCTTTTGCTTTGATTTATCCATTTTAATTTATTGATGTTTAGCACTTAAGGCGATATTTTTAACTTTTAGTATTATTTACATAAGCATGACTGAACTTGTCGGTCGCTTTCCCTTCCACCTGCGCATAGATGAGCAAATTGTCCGACTTCTTAATGCCGGATACTTCAAAGCGTAGCAATATGGACGGTCTCTCAGTTGTAGTAGTTGTTGTTGTGTGGACTGCGTTCGATTCCAGTTCCCCAATTACCCCTGGGCTAAAGTTGGGCATATGTACGCTGAATGAATGCCCCTCATACAAGTGCAGTTGCCAGTCGCAGAGCTGCGGTATAAGATTGCAACGTGCCATTGAATTCGCATCAAGAACCGACAATTGGCCGTAACTCAATTTGGGTATTTGCTGTAGTGCAGCTATAACATTCGGTATGGGCGCAGCCTCACATCGGATAATCACTTGAATCAAAAGCAGCACCAGAGTTCGTGGGGTGCGCATTGCGACAGAAACACCTTCAGCTAAGTAAGTACCTCGAGCTCTTGCGCCTCGATTCCGACTGCCAAAGTGGTTTCAACTGAACTGAACTCGAACCCGTTTCCCGCTCACCGAATTAAAAAGAAAACGAAAGTTATTGTTTGTGCATGTGGCCGGTAGCAATTAGCTGTAAAAGGTGACATCAACCCACAAGAATTACTACGAAATGTTAGATTTAATTTATACAGCTTCTGATGTATTTGAAATGCTATATTTCTCTTATTTCAAAACTAAACACAGATGTTTTTCTATTCATATAGAAAATATTATACATAATTGTATGCATGTATCAATAAATTATTAATTTATTTCTTTTTTCAAAAATATTTTAACTAAACTTAGCAGTTATAGGCAATTTTTATTATTAAAAAAGAAATCGAATTCTTTGAACCGAGTTTGAAGTTTTTCCCGTACCTTTGAAATAATTCTTATAGATACTCTTATTATCCTTCTTGCGTGTGCGCTGACTGAAGGGTCTGCGTGTGGGTTTATAATTGGATAGTCGCCTTCGATGGGAAGGTGACGCTGGAGCTATCAATATGAGTGGATTGCCATTTCCATCAGTAAGGTCCATAAAATGCGCTTCATCGGGCTGTTCACAGAGCTTTGGATGACGCTGACACAAGGAAGATACCGAATGTGGTGGCGATTTAATAGATAATTTCTGCTCCGGCCTTAAGGAAATGTCTGATAAATCATAATCATCATCACCATCGTAATCATAATCATAATCCCTCACAGGAACTGAGGTTGTGTTTGGGGTTGTGATATCCGTTGGTGTTGGTTCTGTGGTGAGTGGAGGTGTTGTGGTGGGTGCTTCTGTCGTGGGAGGAGGTGTTGTAGTTGTTGCCCTCGTCGTGGATGCAGTCGTACTGGATGTAGTTGTGGCACGAGTTGTGGTCCTAGTTGTAGGTCTCCTTGTTGTTGTTGTTGTCGTAGTTGTTGTTGTCGTTGTTGTTCTTGTTGGTCGAGGTCGAGGTCGAGGACGTGGTCGGGGTCGAGGTCGTGTGGGCCTCGGTGGTCGGGGAAATGGCCTAGGCACATAAGGCGGATGATTGTAATAGTAGTTCTCCCAATAGTTATTGTAGTAGTTATCGATGGCAGCCTCATTTACCACTTGCTTCTTGTGCGGAACAGCCAACGCGTCTGTTATCCGTTTATATATACTGTTTATATCCCAGACGGGAATTCGCAGCCTCATCTGACTGTCTCCTGTAGGTGACTGAGTCAGGGCAGGCACCGCCAGCAGCAGGCAGAGAAATGCGTGACTTATTAACATTTGATGGATTTGATTGGAATTTGCGGATAATATTCGGATAGAGACCAGAGCTAAACTAACAGCGGCTAAGCCCAATTGCTTTTATATAAACAGCAGTTAATCTTCAAATAAAACTGTTTATGATTGATAATAGCCTTAAGGCCTGAATTCATAATTCGATACAACAATTTTATTATTGTCGAAGCAATGGCACAATGCGCGACGATTAACGTATCAATTGTTTTGGGAAGCGACTACCGCTGTTCTATTTTCTCACCAGCAACGGTTTGGCAAGATAATCATATGGACTATTATAGATATGTTGGGAATGGTTAATCAGCAGTTAGTTCTGCAAAACTAACTTCATTGGGTTGTCCACAAACTCGCGGGTAAGAGCTCTGCAAAATTGTTGCTAAATTTGAATATCAACTTTTGAAGATGATTATTCGTCAATTTTTTAATAGGTTGGGATATAGTTTTTTGCTGACATTGATGGTGTAGTCTGTCAAGGCGAATAACTGTTGTACTGGTAAAATTCCTTATTCGGATTTGTAAGCAGTAAAATGGAAATTGAGGAATTTTTTTTGTATAGAACGAATATATATATAGCATCGATGAGAACAAACGGTCGAACGTTGAGCTTTCATTTGAGAGATCGTGGACTAAAAAGTATAAACAATTTGTATACATTATTTGGAATATTTGTATTTCTTTATTTACTTAACTATTCTGCAAACGCTTTCGTGCTGATATCGCTCAAAATATGTAATGCAGTTGAAAAACACCTTAGTAGATCTACCCAATATCTGTTAACTTCAAATTTTCATCATGTTAAATTCAATTAAGTCAAATAATATATGAACATTTGTTTATTACAATCTAACTTGAAAATCACAAAAAGGAATACGTAAATTATACTTGAATACTTGAATAACTTTTTAATCTAATGAGTTTGAAAATTCGCTAGTGTTGACGTAATATAGGATTTGCTTTGTAATAGGTGTAGCTTGGACGAGCAGCTACCAAACGCCTCCGAGAGTGCTTCCGGGTGTAGCTTGCAGCAGGAGATGTAACCAAGAAATATGGCCGTCCATTCTTATCAATAAGTCTCACATATTGTGATTTGGGATGATGGTAAAAGTGAGAAGGTTCATCATAATAATGTTCACTATCGTGATCGTCATTATTGGAGGCTGAAATATCATACTCGCTGTGCGAAGCAGGACTTCGAATTATAAAATGTTGCACCTTGTTACTTTTAACGGGGATTACGCGATGTGGAATAGCTGTAGAGGTTGTCAGAGCGACACCTTTAGGAGAGGCTATTGTTGGCGATGCTATGATCCCCCCCGCTGTTGTTGAATCCTTTGATGAAATTGGAATCGGTTTTGAGGTTGGAATTGCTGTTGATGAGGTTGGCAAGGCAGATGAAGATGCTGGCAATGCTGTTGAGGTTGAAAAAGTTGATGATGCAGTGGGCAATGCTGTTGATTTAGGAATGTCTGGTGTGTTATTTGAGATGCCTGTGGATGTAGGAATAGCTGCAGAGCTACTTGGCAAAGCCGAGGTGTCTGTTGAGTTGGAAACAGCTGGCGATGTTCTTGGAAGAGCACTTGAGGTAGTTAGTAATGATGTTGATTTAGTAGCAGCTGGAGCGGTAGTTGTGGTGGGGACTGCTTTCAAAGCATTTATTGAGGCGGGAACAGCTGGATCCGTTCTTGGATGAGCATTTAAGGTAGTTGGCAATGCTGTAGATTTAGGAGCAGTTGCTGCGATAGTTGGCAATGGTGTTGATGTAGGTATAACTGTAGAGGTACTTGGCAACATTGTTATGGCAGGGGGAAGTGCTGTCGAGGTGCCTGTTGATGTGGGAAGAACTGGCGACGTTCTTGGAAGATCACTTACGGCAGTTGGCAAAGCTGTAAATTTAATACCAACTGGTGTGGTAGTTGGTAATGCTGTTGAGGTAGGAAAAGCTGTAGAAGTACTTGGATAAGTTGTTGCGCTGGTGACTGCTTTCGAAGTGGTATCATTTTGCGACATTCTTCGAAGAGTATTTGAGGTAGTTGGCAATGCTGTAAATTTAGTAGCAACTGGTGCGGTAGTTGGTAATGCTGTTGATTTAGGAGCAACTGATGAGGTAATTGGTGTAGGAATAGCTGTGGAGGTGCTTGGCAAAGCTGTGACACTGGAGACCGCTTTCGAGATGCTTGTTAAGGTAGGAATAGCTGTCGACATTTTTGGATGACCACTTGAGTTAGCTGACAGTGCGGTAGATTTAGGAGTGGCTGATGAGTTGGTTGTTGTAGGAAAAGCTGTGGGAGTAATTGCCAAAGCTGATGCGCTGGGGACTACTTTCGATGTGCTTGTTGAGGTGGACGATCTTTGCAGAGCATTTAAGGTAGTTGGCAATGCTGTAGATGTAGGTATACCTGTAGATAACAATAATGTTATGACGGGGGTAACTGCTGTCGAGGTGCCTGTTGATGTGGGAAGAGCTGGCGACGTTCTTGGAAGATCGCTTGGGGCAGTTGGCAATGCTGTAAATTTAATAGCAACTGGTGCAGTAGATGGTAAAGCTGTTGACTTAAGATCGACAGATGAGGTAGTTTGTGTAGAAATTCCTTTGGGTGTAATTGGCAAAGCTGTTGTGGTGGGGACTGCTTTCGAAGTGCTTGTTGTGGTGAGAACAGTTGGAGACAATCTTTGCGGAGCATTTAAGGTAGTTGGCAATGCTGTAGATTTAGTAGCAACTGGTGTGGTAATTGGTAATGCTGTTGATTTAGGAGCAACTGATGAGGTAGTTGGTGTAGGAATAGCTGTAGAGGTACTTGGCAAAGCTGTTGCGCTCGTGACCGCTTTCGAGGTGCTTGTTGATTTAGGAACAGCTGTCGACGTTGTTGGATGAGCACTTGAGGTAGTTGGCAATGCGGTAGATTTAGGAGCAGCTGGTGAGATAGTTGGCAATGCTGTTGATGTAGCAATAGCTGGTGCGGTAGTTGGCAAGGCTGTTGATGTGGGTAAAGCTGCGGAGGTATTGGGCAAAGTTGTTGCGCTGGGGACTGTTTTGGAGGTGTCTGTTGAGGTGGGAACAGCTGTAGACGTTTTTGGAAGCGCACTTGATGTAGTTGGCGATGCTGTTGATGTAGGAATATCCTGTGAGGTAGATACTACAGTTGAGGTAATTGAGATTCCAGTGGGGGTGGGAATCGAAGTTTCAGTAGAAATAGAAGTGGATGTCGACGCATCAGTGGAAGTAGGTATCGCTGCCGAAGTTGCTATCATTCCACTGGAAATATGTATTGCAGTTGAGGTTGTCGGAACTCTAGGGGAAGTAGGAATCGCTGTCGAAGTGTCGGTGAAAGTATGAATCGCTGTCGAAGTGGCTGCCATTCCAGTGGAAATAGGATTTGCTGCCGAAGTGGTTGCCATTCCAGTGGAAATAGGAATTGCTGCCGAAGTTGTTGGCCTTGCCGTTGCGGTGTGTTGGTTAGCTTCTGAAGCTAAGCTTTGCTGATGAAGATAATAGTTGTAGGCTGCCAAATTATAATAATAGTTGTAGTAATCCCAATAATTATTATTGTAATACACATTCCAGTAATATGGATTGAAGTTGTCTCTGAGAGTTTCCAGTTCCTGCTCTTCATCCTCATCCGACTGCTGGTCACTTGATTGTCTGGGCACAGTTCCAGCTATATCACGAATATTCCATACTGGAATTCGAAACTGAGCCCAAGCAGGCACAGCTAACAAAACTAGTAGAAGTAGGAGCCACACTCGACTGCTTAACATTTTGCCTAATTTCTTTATTGAATATTCGCGACTTCACGTCGCAGAAGCTCGACCAGAACTGAGCTGTCAGAACCGTAGCTCGATTGTTTAAATAAGCTACGCAGCTGCTTTTTGAATCGCCTGACTTCTTATCTAAAAATTAGACTCCAATTAAATTAAATCAAAAAAATACAATATACATCTTAGCTTTATGAGTTTCGACTTATAAAAAGAGCATTTGCTGAATATAACTTCGACTTAATGAGTTTTGATCCGGCATCAGCTAGTCTAAATTTCAACCAAACAACTGTGAGCTGTAGTAGCCGTAATTTAGAGGAGCAACTGCTGCCGGCTGCTGGATCGTTGTATTGTTTAACTGTTGATCATTATCAAGCTCGTATTGAATGCGTGAGCCATTCTTAAAGTCGATGTAATCGTAGTCGGGGTCATTGTCATTGCTGCTTTCATCACTGATAGGTCTATGAGCTAGTTTTTGTACAGGTTGCGTACTGGTGGTCTCTGACGCCATCGCCTGCTGTAGAAAGTCCGCCAGCACCGCGGGCTGTATGGTGGGTCCTGGTCCACTCATCGATTGTAGTCCCTGCAACACGCCCTGAATGAACTGTTCACGGATTTGATCATTTGCATCTGTGCCTGCAACCTCATCCATTTGCTTCACATCTGAAGACACTTGCCCCAAGTCCTGAGTAGACCCACCTTGGGGTCGTCTTAGAGGAACTCCTGGCCTCAGTCCACCTGTGGTTACCAGTGGCAATGCCAACGGATTACTTAGCAATAATAGCAAGGGTAATGTTGTGCGCTGTTGTGATTCCTTTTCCAAATTCACACGTAGGGCATTAACTTCCAACAAGAGACAGGAGACAAAAGCAATAATAAAGTAAAGCGTAGCTCTTTGTATCATATTGCTGCGAGTTCGCTGACCAACTAAATGTCGCCAGCGGTGCTTTTGCATATTTAGCTGAATGCTAAACAAAGCTCAGTGGTGAAATCTTTTGTTTATAAATTTCACTCAACAAAAGCCAAACAATCACAAATATTTTATGGTCATCTGTTTACACGCTAAACTTATTTACGACTCATTTATATGGGAAGACGCTTTGCCAACCGATGATTTTTGCGTCGAGTCTTCTGTCTGACTTCGTAGCCTGCTTTGACTTCTTCTACTTTGTGTTTGAGCCAATCTCAACTTTACGCTACAATGCATCGCCTTCATCATCGTAGTATTAGACACATTAAATTCATCATCGTTCTGTTCGTAATTAGCAATATCGTCGTCCTCATTAAGTTCAGCGTTAAGAGCATGGCTATCAAGACCCTGATCAAAGTCTTGGACATCAACCGCCGCATAATAGAGGCTCTCATTATAAGCTCACTCAGCAAACTGCTGCCGAGCAGTGGTGCTTGCAGCCGCTGCCAATAGGGCTCAAAATCATCATAGGGTTGGCCACGCTCCAAGTTGTCACATTGTAGCAGACTGTAGCCATAATGTTAGCCTTAACAATAACCATCACTGAATGCGTTTTCGGCAATATGCAGAAACTACTGTATTCAAATATTTTCGGAGCCTGTAGGGACAGTGACTATAAGCAAAGTAAAACAGATACATTGGCGTCATTATATAGATTCTAAGAGGCATGCTGGACTTTGATGGTTAAATGTATAAGTTAATTACACTTAAAGGTTAAAGGTTATTTAAATGTTTTTCGCTTTTGAGAACTTGAGAAATGTTTTTAGTTATATCAAAGAAGATATTTCTTATTTTTTTAATGCATTATCCAAAATACAAAAATATTTTAAAAATAATCTCGGGCATTTGCGGCACAAATTACGCTTGAATTAAATTTTCAAATATTTAACTAATTAAGTGCTCATGACAGCCGTTCAAAATTCGAGGCCACCTTTCAATAATATCTCTGCTGAGGTGATGTAATATCTTCTATTTACACAGAACTTAACTCGACTGAAGCAGCTTCAATTCATTCAACTGATTCGCATTATTTTTAATATACGCTCACCTAGAATTCAGCAGCAGTCAGTCAATGCAGAATTCCTATTGTTGATTTAGCTCAATTGATTTGTATTAGAATGGTTGCATAGTTTATGGATCATTGGTCTTAATATATATTATGATATTTCCTTTTAACCATCTGTCCAAATATAATTCAATGTGTATATAAATATATATTTTGTCTATGAAAACAAATACCTTATAAGCCGGGCTCATGGTTTTTCCTTACTATCTTCTGCACTCTTGCTGTTATCCATGACTTTTTGCTATCCGTGTCCAAAACCAGGACGGTACATCAATGCTCATCGTCCTCATCCTACACCTCGTCCTTATGCTCCATCTCATCCAGCAAACCATTTTCACCCATATTATCTTTATCCCTACTCAGAGCCATTACCAAAAGGCCTTATTCTTCTCTTGCGGTACAGCTATTAATGATAATAAAACTTTAATACTAAGCAATGAGTATATTTACGGATCTTAGCAGTAAAATAAATAAAACTAAAATTGAACAAGTAAGGGTGCTGTAAACTCAGTTGTTAAATATATTCTAGTACTATTGGAAAATTTCCCATTAAAGTTTTGCACCAAAATGTGAGAAGGTCTGCAAGTGCGCTCTGCCGAAATGAAATTGGGCAGTTGATCAATAATATACATATGCATATTATATATTAATTTGAAGATTCTTAAAATTGGAGCATTTATTTCTATCGGATATGTAAATGTATCGATAATCGATAAACGGAGACAGTTATCGATCAACATAAAGCAAACTTGATCTGCGCCTGGTATACGAGAACCTATATACCAAATTTTAAGTTTCTTGCTCTTATAGTCTCTGAGTTCTGCGTGTTCATACAGACGGACGGACGGACAGATGGAGATGTCTATATCGACTCGACTGTTGACCCTGATCAAGAATATATATATACTTTATGGGGTTCATCTGCTTGATACATTTGCACAAAACCATTATACCCTTTTTTACCCAAAATTCGAGATAAAAATAAATAAATAATAATAAATTTTATATTATAGATGAAGTTGATAGTTTGTAACAAAAACTTTAAAAGATAATGCAAATCGTTTATAATAAATAAATGTAATCCAGTTCTGCTACGATGACACAAGCTGCCTAAATCTGTATTCTAATAAGATCAAATGATATTCTACCCCAAAGAAGGTTTCTATTTCACATTAAAAAATAAACTTTCCCTTTAATGTGTGTTGACTTAATATTGGTTCTTGAAATTTGAAAATTAGCGCAGTCTTTGCGACTATTGTAGAAATGGTGGCTCGCATTTGAGTTCTGAGTTATTCTAAAAAGGTTATCTGATATTCAAATGTGTCGCTGTTTTGCATTTAGCACATGTCAGTAGTAGTACAAAAAAAGATGAAAAATAACTAAAACAGATTATATTTTCGGAAATCTATACACGTAAAACTATATAAGCTATGTCGCAAAATTTTGTTAATCAGTTACATTCAACTGCTCTCCAAATGAGTTGGAAATTAGTTATCTGCCTTCTGCTGGCAGTTTGGTGCGGGTCGGCTGTTTCCAAGCCTGAGACCGATGTGGTGCTCTACAAGCTCATTGGCGACGGCATCGAGGATGAGGATGTTTTCAAATATTTTAACGTTCCAAGTGCTACCAAAGACGAAGACAGCCTTATCATACAAGATGACGATACAGCAGACTCTGTTGAATTAAATAATAGAGACACAGCACGTCCGTTCCCTTATTACCTTAGTGCGCCCGATTCATATTATCCAAAGACAGGCGTTAAGAGTTCTGTGGCATTAAAAGAACCACCCACAGGAGGAGGTGCTGCTGGAGGTGCTGCTGGAGGTGGACTTCTTGGTATACAACTCTTTGGAGGACAAGTTCCTCCTGGAAGACTTCCCTTAGGAGGACTTCCCGTAGGAGGATTTCCCGTAGGAGGGCTTCCCTTAGGAGTATTTTCCGTAGGGGGTCTTCCAGCAGGAACACTTCCTGCTGAAGAACATACCGGAGGAGGAGAAGTTCCTCCTGGAAGACTTCCCTTAGGAGGACTTCCCGTAGGAGGATTTCCCGTAGGAGGACTTCCCTTAGGAGTATTTTCCGTAGGGGGTCTTCCTGCAGGAACACTTCCTGCTGGAGAACATACCGGAGGAGGACTTTTCGGAGTAGGACTTCTTGGAGGTATGTTTCCAGGAGGTGGAAAACCTCTTGGATATGCATCTTTTGAAGGAAAACCTGTTGGAGCAGCATCCCTTGTGGAAAAACCACTTGAAGTATCACCTTTTGTAAGGCCGCCAGGTAGAATACCCGAGTTATGGCGTCCCGGATGTGGACTCTGGCATCCTGTATATGGATTTTGGCATCCCAGATTTGGATTCTGGCATCCCAGTTATGGATACCTTCCCCGTAATCCATATTTCGCATTGCCATTCAATGACTTCTCATATCTAGACTTTTCCGCGCAACGAACCAAAAGGAAATCCCAATCGTAATTCGTATCTCTATTATGTATCTCTATGTAGCCCTATTTGATGTAAGAAATTAAAGAACATATATACAAAAATGTTTAAGAACAAAAGAAAAATTGTTGGCATTGTGTTTATATCTGACATTCTATTAATATCTGTCACTGTATTGCTAAGCACTAGTCTGGTCTACATTCTTACAAAACTGTTTAGGCTTCGTCGGCAGGTTCAATGTATCTGGGAGCGCTTTCATTATTGATTTCCTTTTACGTTTATAATTTATGAGAAAACAACCGCTATTACTAATTTGGATAACAAGAAACAGGTCGACTTTTGATCTGTTCTTAACTGATTTCAATAGCTGAACTGATTTGCATGCGAATATCGCGATGATTCGCATTTAAAATTGGTTCACAGGGGTGTGTGCCTGTGCTTGATTTTATGATATGTGCGTTCAATTATTTCTATTTATAAATAAATGTATTTATTATTTAGAGTAAAAGAAAAATTCCCCCAAAAGATTGGTAAAAAAAAAAATACATTTTTGGCTACGTTCACTAGATCTAGATCTCCAGCAATTTACAACCAAGAACATTAATGATTATTTAATGGTCGAGGCACTCTTACCGTTCTCACTTTCTCTCTTTTAATTAACTAACGCAATTAGATATTAAACGCGTCCTATCTACAGGCCCACGGCTTTTTAAATAAAATTGTATCTGAATATACTATAGCGCACCTTCCAATTAATCCATACTTATCGCAACATATTTCACCATTACAAAACGATTGTCAATTTTACCTTTTAATACAGCTATTTAAAGATGGCATATTTTACACGCGCTGCGGGCGATACAGAAATTCATCAAAATTTGACATTGGCCCGAGCTCATTAACACAATTGTCAAAAACAGAAATTTCAGTTCGTTATAAATGCCAAATATGCTTATTTGTCAGGAAATAAAGTTATGCGTCTGACGAAATTAACGAACTTTAAGTCTGATGAGCTTCAACGTCAATCTATCAGTTACCCAATTTGTAGTCGTCGCCGCACTGGTGACAGTCGACCACTGCCTATCAAATAAATACTTAAATTTGTCCAAGAAACGTGCTGACAAATATCTTTAAAATGTAAATGATTGTGTATTATGGCCATTAAAGCAGTCGGCTGAAGAAGTCGTTGACTTGTAGCTCATCACATGAGCGCAGTAAATAAACACGCGCAAAAATGGACAGCACTTCCTCTGAATGCAGTGCAAGCACTTTGAGCTAATCAATTTGCAGGCTCATCAGGGCCATGTTGAGAAAGCCAACTGCTGTAAGTAATAAAAATGGCCAACAAGGGTCGGATGCTGTTGTCTTGTCGTTCAGTAATAGTCGGCTTATTTATCGAATCGCGCCGACTTTCTGGCGACACTAATTAAATG